TGACCTTTATACTACGTATTATTATATTATACTAGCTGAGTGCGCCCGGCCTTGCTCGGGATTCAATATTAGCTTGAGTTTATGCGCATGCTATATTGTACGTAGCCCCCCTCCCCATCTTATCCAAGGGGCTACCCCCTATGACCTCCACATGCCAAATTTGGTTCCATTTGCTTGATTAGTTCTCGTCGACAGAACTTCTCGAGTTATGCAGAAATTTCAGTTTCATTTGTATGGGAGCCCTCCCTTTACAGGTAGGGGGAGGGGTCTCGAACCATCATAATAACCTTTCCCTGCCCCAAAAACCCCTACATACAAATTTTCACGCCGATCGGTTCAGTAGTTTCCGAGTCCATAAGGGTCAGACAGACAGACAGAAATTCATTTTTATATATATATAGATAAGGGGCTTTTCATGAAACACCTAGACACTAGAGAGGGTCTAGTATAAGAGAGGAGCGGACTAGCTGGTTTTGAGCCAAACGAACTGTCAAAGCCAGAGTCAATCGGGCAACGGCTATCTGGATTGCATTGGCAGTGTTGCTAGAAACTACCCAGGCATAGGTTGCCAAGGCAGTTTGTTTTGAATCCGCTTCTCTTTTATACTAGACCCTCTCTAGTAGACACTATAGGGCGAGTGTGGGGGGTGGCGAGTGTCTACATTAGTGTCTTATATTGCATTTTTTTGAAATTAGAAACTGGCTTTTTTAATATGAAATCCTGATTTTCTTAATATTTATCAACATTAAATAAAACTGCCACTTCCTAAAATAGTTCATACTGTTTCTTTTGATTGTATAAATCCTGTTTCCATAATTTGTGTACACAAATCGATTCGTAATGATAAATTCAGTCGAGAAAATCTTTGTGGGACACTTATGCGTAGAATTTCAACATGGGACAATTAGGCTTGATGTTGTTTTTATTCAAACCCAGAACAAACAATATGTTTTTCTATTTTCAATCCAAAGTCTACCTAAAAGAGTACTGTTTTATGAACAAAAGTGAAAAACGCCCAAAAGTAAAAAACGCCCAAAAGTAACATGGGACAGATACGCGTAGAACGGTAGTGAAGCTCTTAATTCTATTGAAGATAAATTTCTCTGAAATTCTCTGGACTTCTGTGAAGTTCCTGATATATTTCTGAAGTTTTCATAAATTATCTGATGGTCTCCGTACTTCCTTGAAATTCTCGGAACATCTTGAGGGTTCTTAATTATTTTTTTCTAAATTTACGATTATAGATCTTTAAACTGCTTCAAAAGTTTGAACTAAAGTCATGGAAACTGCTCTTAAGATCTGTAATTCAAAAAAGATCTCTAGATCTAGTTTTTCTGAGGTGCTTAAAACTTCTTAAAAATTTACACAATACCCACAAGTTTCCAATATTTCTCAAGTTCGCTTAACACCTATGATGTGCTCTGAAATTCTAGGAACTTCGTAAAAGTTCCTGAAAATTTTCGGATGTTAAAAGAACCGATTTGAGGATCTTAAGGCTTCAAGTAAGTTCCCCATATTTTCAGTGTGTTAACTTCCCTTATGTTCCCGCAGTTTGTTTATGGAGCTTCACTGAAATTCTCAGCATTTCCTTTCATTCCTCGGAACTTCTTCAAAGTTCTTACAATTGTTATGAAGTTAGTGGGACTGCAATGAAGATCTCTAATCTTTCACAAAGGTAATTACGAACTTGAAATAAACCATTTATTTGTTTTCCTTAATTCAGGCACTTTGAAAATTTTAAATATCTTGAACTTGTACATGGAATACGAAACTTCAAGACATTGAATATTTTTAGATCTCGTACGATAAGTACGTTTTTTTTAACTTTATTAAAGTGAGAAATTAAGTAGGTGCTAAACTTCAACATTCAATGGATTTGATTGTAAAGCTGTTTCTTTAAAACTGATTACCATGTCTTAAAAACTTTTGGGTTAATTACTGTCAGTGGCGTCGCGTCCACATGTGCAACCTGTGCACGACACAGGTGTAAATAAATTAAAAAATGCGTTTAGATTTTTATAGATTTGATGTACATTATAGCTGTACTTCTTTACGCCAGACCACAAGTGACCATGAATACACTATTTTATAGTGTGGCTCAATTAAATCTTCGACCTTGATTTGCTTCAAAAAGGATTCAGTTCAGTTCGGATGGTCTGCCCAATCCCTAATGCATTGATTTCAAGCATGTCGACATCACTACCATTACAAAACTCGTTAAATAGTGATCCTAAAAGCGAGCTTTTTTGGGTTGTGGGTGGCAAGTTTGTGAATGGTTAAATGCCTGATGTAATCCAAGCAGACCTTCAATCACCTCTTGAAACATACCATAAATTTCCCACAATACATGGCGGTTTGCACCACTAGTTGTAATTGAAATTTTCAGCAGTCACGCGTCAAACGGGAGCAACACGGAAACAGCAGTCTGGTACGCTTTGGACGTTATCATACTAGCAGACCGGTTTGAATGTGTGAGTTTAAATTAGAAGAACATTTGTGATGTATGGGTGTCTGAAGCGTGCATTTCTCGCTATGCACTTGGATATCTGATTGCAGGCAAAGAGAGTAATGGAGAAAGAGAGCGCAAAAGCTCACTCTAATCTCTTGTAAGTTGTAAATCTCTCACTTACTGATGGTTGCGCCGTTGCTTATGAGCTTCCTGAGCTGTTCTGATGAATTAAGAGTTGATTACTTCACGTTTGCTACCCAGAGGACTTCATGAATTTTCTCTAGATTTTGACACTGTTTTGTATCAAAAAATGTTTTCGGAAGTGTTTGACGGATATTCTTCATTACACTTCAGTCGAAAGAGTTAACCTTGTGATAAAAACGAGAATTTGTTAAGTTTTGCAATGCCTCCTACTTCGGTTAGCGCGAAAAGGGCCATACAAGTTTTGTTGTTGTTAGGCCCTTCAAATGTTACGTTAGGTAGTGATCAATATAGTAATTAAGAATATGTCCCTCGAATTCATGGAGCATTCAAAAAATAAAACAAAAACTAATATGTGGTGGTAAACTATAACGAACAAAGTTTGGTGCACAGGTAAACAAATGAGGCACGCGACGCCTCTGATTACTGTTGTTTTTGATCTTCCAAAAAAGCATATTTTGAACGCCTTTTAAAATATCTTTCTTATTATAAACCTGAAATTTATCCATTAAAGTTCTGGAAAAACCTGGAAAACTCAGGTAATTTTATTTTGAAAAACGAGAAGACACCCTGTAGAAAGAGAAAGACGATTAAACGTCACAAAGCAAAGTATGGTCAATTTTGATATAAATTCACTCTACAAAAGTTGAAAATAGTGACTGATTACATAAAAAAGTGACTTCAGTGACTTGGCCTTAAAAAAGGAGACTTTTTAGTGGCTTGAAAAAAGTGACCAAGTCACTAAAAAGTGACTCGCTACCAGCCCTGATAGTATCTAAAACATTGCTGAAAACACCATTTTGCAATCTCGACTTAATTTACACCTAGCTAGGTGGATTAGTCATAAAAAAGTTAGGTTCAAAAGAACAATCTAATTATGAACTCAAATTACTCCAAATATACCGTATGTCTTAATTAATCTTTAAATAAATCCATAAATTAGATAAACAAAAAATGCATTTAAAAAAATAATAAGACCACGACATCAAATTGTTTTTTTATAGGCGCCGCCGGTGGTGTAGTGGTAAGCGTGATGGCCTCTTACCCCAAAAGGCCTGGGTTGAATCCCAGTCGGCATCGCCGGTATTTTCTGCGCCATAAAACCTCTGATCACGCTTTCCTTCGGAAGGGAAGTAAACCCTTTGGACCATGACTTGATGGGTCGATAGTTAGGGTCCAGGTGTGGGAGCTGCCTTCCTGGCGTCGGTAGCATTGGTACTCAGTACGGAAAACAAGACCGACGGAAAAAAATAAATGGTTTTAACATTCCTAACGCAAGAATGTTGAGAAGCATTTTCTAGTAGCTGGACTTTGATTAATGTTTAACACTTCAAATGTTCGAAGTAGTGTCCATTTCCCGGCTATTATTGGTTTCCCGAGAAACGGGAAACAGCTGATGCCTCTTCCCGGGATTCGGGAAATATTTTAGTTCATAGACCAGAAAAGTATAAAGTTATCACAATTATTTGTTTTAGCTTCTGCTGAACGATTTATAAAGTATGGAATAGTTTAGCCACTTAATTTTTATATTTTTGCTTCCATTGGATGAAATTTCCAAGCTGTAATCGATTGCTGATTTTTTTCGTAGTTTATAGAGTTTCTTTTGATCTAGAAGATATATCTCAATTCTCCCAGAATTCTCTTCCAACTTTCCTAGAATCTGATTTCATCAAAAGCTTCATCCAGAAGTACTTCTGACTTCGGAAGATTCATCTGCAAGTTTTTAAAAACTTTCATTGAAACTACCCCAGAATTCGACAGCCCCGGAAGTTTCTACCGACTTCCATGATTAATCTTTTTGGCTTCGCACGGAAATATCTTCGGGTCTCCTAAAATTTTTGTCTAGTCTCCCAGGAAATTTATCCAGGCTTACCTCGGAAAATTCTTCCAGTTTACCTTAGAAGATCGTCAGATTCCTCTGGAAGTTAATCCAAACTTTTTTGCAAGAAGTTTCTTTTGGCTCTTCTGGGAAATTTTTTGTAGCTTTCATCCAAAAATCCTTCTAAACTTATTTCCCGGGAAATAGGAACAGATTCCCGGGAAACGAGTTCGAGATAATATCGATTCACATAGTGGCATTTGGCAGAGTAAAATTTCAAAGCCCTAAATAAAAGTATGTACGGTTAAAAATTTTACTCACATAGATAGCCCTAGGCCTAGATAACACAAGTCGGAGCAGCCGTTGAAAGCTAGGTATATCGGATTGGGAAGCACTTGAAAGTGATTATTGATAAGATTCGTTATGACGTTGCCATTATATCCTGTGCTATGCATCGCTGCACATTGGTTATGGAAACCTCTTGACAATATCTGCTATCGGTTGGAAACTATCTCGGTACTAGTTTTCCATTAGCTCTGATTGAGTGCTGACTCCGACTAGCAGCTATGAATAATATTACGAATTTGATTATTTTCTTCTTCGTCGCAATATCGGTGAAATGTCAGCAAAATGCCGGGAAAGTTCCGTGCAACAGTATTTTCGGATGCATTTCTCATATTCAGTGTGCTGTGGATGAATACTGGGCTCCGGGCGTGTCTCTGGATGGGTGTTGTCCCGGTTGCGTTAGAGGCCTCGGTCTCGGCGATATCGGTTGTGATGGAGTAACTCCCTGTGCTCCTGGATTACTGTGTGCAAAAGGAGCGATTTGTATGCTGAATCCGAGTAAGTAAGCGCTTGAGCAAGCAGATCATAACATAAACCCAGAGGATAATTTATGACTCAAAACAGCCAACTGCCTTGCCACCAAGCACGTGTCGAGCAAGGTTCTCTGGAAACCACAATGTGACCAGTTAGGGAACTTTCGGCCAAAGCAGTGCCGAGGGGATCGACTACTGGGGAGATGCTTCTGCTATTCATCCACCGGTCAGCGGATCTTCGGTTGGCAATGGCACGGCAAGGCGGATGATATGACCTGTGCCTGCAGTCGGCTTCGTTCGGACCTGGAAGCAGCCGGTAGGCAAGACGTCACCCTTCATTGTACATCCGAGGGGAATTTCGAGTCATTGCAATGCGACGGAGGGGTGTGCTGGTGTGCTGATCCGAAAACGGGTGAACCATGGCCCCGGGTACCGGCAGTGTTGCCTTCGATGTGGAAGAAGCTTCCTTGCTGTGAGTATACTGTTTCAGAACAGAGAAAAATATGCTAACCCTATCCTACACAGACAACCGAACCATGCACGGCGACAGATACCTGCGGCAGTGTGAAAGTGCATCCTTCGCTCAGCGCCGACTTGAGTGGAAATTTGCCACCCACGGTCAGGTGAACGTGCGCCATACGGACGTGGTGTGCGATTACGATGGCTCCTATGGGAGATACGAAGTCGAAAGTGGCATGTGAGTACGACGACAGCATAATGGCACCAAATGGAAAGCTATAAAATTTCAATTTCAGAGCATATTGCACCTGGCGCGATGGCACCCGGATCGAGCAATACCAAACGAGTAGTCTTAAGGCGCACTTGATGACCTGCAGTAAGTACAATACGATACATTTTGCCATTCCCCGCTTCCTGGTCAAGAAATATGACGCGTACTTGGAAATGTAATCGCCTAAATGTAGGCCTCCACCGGGCACTCGTTCACACGAACGGTTGTTTGTCCTCAAGAAGAGCATCGCTACCCACCGCCAACTACCACCCGTCCGGTGTCGTACGGGAGTGGGAAGATGTTTACTAAGAACACTTCGCTCACGCTTCAAACACACCATAACCGTACGGTTATCCCTCCATTTATGCGATGGGTGGCACCGTCCACCCATCGCTTTCTCTCTGCGCCGACCTTCTGTAGATAACTAGTTTATGGTTAACACTGGACAGCACCACCCACCGCATAAATCGAGGGATTACTGTTAACATTCGGAACAGCGGTGGTGGTTTGGAGGAGTTTGCCCCACTTGAGCCGAATGTCTGTTTAATTTCAACATTTCGGTAAGACTTCTTTCTGCTGCTACTTAACTTTGTTTTGCTCTGCCGCATCGTCGTCGTCGTCGTCGTCGTCGTCGTCTTCGTCGTCGTTCATTCACAGCTTGGTTGTGATTTTCTTTTATCGTTGAGTAGGCGATGCCAAGGAAAATTAATTGCCTATAGAGAATTTTAATCCGCATTTGGTTGCGCGAAGGAGGAGAACGCAAGATTTTTGGTTGATTATATTTCATTGATGAGATTTACAAATTTTGATAACATTTACCATATTTCAGATTGTGCACGTGATCGGAGGATATTCAGCGAGGCCGGTATGACGGTAGAACTGCTATGCGAAGGCAATGGAAACTATATTACATTGCAGGATCGCAACGGGGTGCTGTTTTGTGTGGATCGAGACGGGTTCCTAGTGGCCGAGGGGGTCACGGAGGATGCAAACTGCCAGGAATATATGTTTGTGTGAAATTTCATAAGCAGTCCAGTATCTAACCCAATAAAATGAAGTTGTTTACTAACTTTGTGAATTAAGTTAAGAAAATCATTTTGTGAAAATTTGGCCACAATATAAGCTTAAGAGAGAACCAATTGCAGGGTGGAATTAAGAATTTGAATTCTCGCCATTTTCCCCGTTTTTTCCTGTTTGTTCAACATGATTTTCCCGGATTGATAGAAACAGCACAAATAAAATTCCAGTGTGGAGGTAATATTCTAAAAAGACTACTCGGGGTAAGGCAGGGCTGGAAGCGGTTAGTGTTCAAGAAAATAGTTACTTCTTCTACTTTGCATTTCAAGCTTATTGCCTATTGTATATTAGCTTACTGCGTGCTCTCAACTTAATGTTCTAGATGCACTTCTACAATTATTAATTGAGAGCTTTAGATGCCTATACCATTTTTGCATTAGTATAATTGTGTGGCAAGAACACGGAGCCCAGGGAAGTTGAGAAATTTTTCAACCCAATAAATTTCTAGACCGGAGCGGAGATCGAACCCAGCCACCTGTATAATGGTCTTGCTTTGTAGTTGCGCCTTTACCGACTGAGCTAAGGAGACCCCATCCGTTTTATTCCACATACCCTTCATCAATGGTTTAGGCCACTGAACAATATCTCTGAAGACATGTGCTCTTTGGACTTCGAGTTCAAGGTTAGCGACAATAACCAAACAACAAAAGCGCTTCTGATATGTAAAAAGGTCATGAGTAAATAATTTCATAAAGCCTTCGACTAAGACAAATCATCCCCGAACAATGCAGAACGTCCAACGTGCATTGATCGATTCGCTTCAGCGACATTCTCTTGAGCAGTCCCAGGCAAAGTAGTGAAAAAAAAAATCAAAAATCGAGCAAGAACATTTTGAGATATTTAGGTTTAAACATTGTTTTGAATTTATACTTGGAATTACTTAAATATATATAAATATTTTCATATTTTTCCCAGAAAAAAACATTTTTTTTTATACAATTTATCCAAGACTTCATTTTAATCAGAAGTACCGTTTCCGTGCTACATTTTTTTGAAAAATGCCAAAAGCGCCATTTTGAAAATTTTACAAGATCCAAAATCGCCGAATTTTAGAAAAAAAAATGTGAATCCTTGCCCATAATAAACCATTATGCAACATTAAAAACACTGCCATTTAAGGCATTTTTGGAGTATTTTTTTCAAAATTTCACTGAGTCATGCTAAGAGTGTATAGAATCACAGTATACCTTGATCGAATTTTATACCTCGGTTGACCGGAAGAGTGCCCCGGAAGAATGTGAAAGCAAAAATAAACCGCAATTCCCCCAAAAGTTCCTTGTCTGGCAATCATCCACGGTCCATACAAATTTAAACAATTTTGTATGGATGGCAGGGGGAGGGAGGGGCCAAGAATCTCAAAAAACTGTCTACGTAGTTAATGAACAGCCCCTAATCTGCAGTTGAGGGCTGAAAAGCGAAATTTTCATTACATTTGGGTCCATGAACCAGCAAATTTACCAGGGGGAGTGCCTAAGGAAGAGACTACTGCATTTTCTGGAGCAGCATGAGATGGATTGCCGGTCAGAATGAACTTGGCAAGCTTCCACTACTCAAATTCCACCAAACAGTGGTATAGCGAAAATGGCGTCACAAGGAGATGAATCCAGTCAATACTCCGGAACTAAGGCCAATTGAGGAGTACTGGTCAATTGTGAAGCACATACTAAAGAAAAAGGGTGGAGCTGGAATTGACCTGAAGGATTTCAAGCGGAAATGGAATTTGGTAGCCAAACAAGTGGGAACAGCGCTCGTGCAAAAGATGTACGAAGAAAAAATCGAGCAATGGCTTATGGTAAGAAGAAAGACCGAAACAATGGTCTTACAATAAACATAATACCTACTAATGCATAGCTGTAACACTGAACTATGAAAACTAAAACACACTTTTAAACCCCACTAAGGTTTTTGTAACCGGATTTTTTCGTGTTCAACCTTTAATAGCTTCTTCCATCGAAATGTGCGTCGAAAACAGTCAGCGGATCCGGTGGTAAGCGTGGTAAGCGTCGTAAACGTGGCAAGCGTGATTGCTTCTCACCCCAAAGGACCTGCGTTCAATCCCAGTCGGCGCCGCCGGGATTTTCTGAGGCATAAAATCTCTGATCACGGGAAGTAAAGCCGTTGGGTCGATAGGTCGGTAGCATTGGTACTCAGTACGGAAAACAAGATCGACGGAAAACAAATCAAGGAAAAAACAAAAGAAAACAGTCAGAAATACTTTACAAGCCTTCGTCGACAAATATTTAAGATATCAGAGAAATTTTTTGACATCCTCTACTTTTGAATTACGATGATTGAGATCAAATATTATGAAGCCAAAATACGTTGTGCGATTTGATGATATCTTGTACACTATTTTTAATGACCTCAACTCCCGAGTTGACATTTTGGATCAGGAGCAAATTCGTCTTTTAAAAAAATGATAATTTGCCATTTCAATTGCAATACATACATGGAATAAGATTAGCTGTTGACAGTATCCTAGTAGAAGAGCAGTTCCACGCCAATTAACGAATCGATTTTATTATCGATTTTATTATCTGCGAATTCCCTGAAACTTTGCATAATTGTTCACTAGGGGCAATGAACCAAGTTTGTTTCGGAATTCGATCATTTTTACTCAAGCCTAATTTTTCATAATGGCGTGTTCGATATTTTTCAATAAATTATAGCACGAAAACGGCCAATGTAATCAAAATTACGTCAGAGACAAAGTTGTAGGAAACTGGATTGCCATTTTTGAAAAAAAAAATACACACTGAAAAATATATGTTTTTGCAAAAAAAAAAAGCTTTCAAAAATTTCAATGACAAAATAAATATTTTTTAGATTTTTCAAACTTACGTTTATTTGAAAGCTTTTAAAAACTGCTATCTTTTCATAATTGGACACAATGGTAACTACAAAATTGACCAAAATCGTAAAACATCAACATCATTTCGAACTTTTTTTCCCATAAATATTTTTTTGTCCAGAAAAGAAAGTTCAAACATTTTACTAAAAGTTTATGTTCTACGATGTTGATCAATTTTGAAGTATCCATTGAGTCCATTTCAGGATAGTTAGGGTTTTTGATAAGCTTTCAAGTAAACATAAATTAAAAAATCTATAAAATGTACTGTTTTTTATATTGAAGTTTTAAGCAGATGTTTTCTTCATTTTTAGACGGGAATCTGTAAAAAAAATTCACAATCCAGTTTCCTACAACTTTATCTCAGACGCCATTTCGATTAGATGAGCTGTGCTTATTGAAAAATATAGAATACGCCATTTTGATTAATTATGCGAGAGTCAAAATGGCCAAATTCCACCACTAAATTGGTTGATTGCCCGTAGCGAACAATGTTGCCAAGTTTCTGGAATTCGGAGAGCTAAAATATAACATTTGTTTATTTGTTTCCCTATGTGACTTGGAATTGCTCAGAAGCTTTTATGTGACTTATCAGGGTGTCGACTCAATGAAGAAAACCAAATTCCCTGATATTCCCTGACTTTCCAGTAAATTCCACAATAATTCCAGGTGCAGTGCCTACCCGGTTTTAGCAATCCCATCGGCTATTACTTTCCTCAGTGCTATACTAAAGGCCTTCTGGACATTTTTTTCATGAAATACTACATGGACCTCTAACCCATGAAAATTGATCCTATACAATTTCAAATTGAATAAAGCGTTCCATACATTTTATAGAATGCAAATAAGCCATAAATGGCGTGTTGCCAAAAACAGGATGCAGCGCATTTTTCTAAATACACACATTTTAAAAGAGGTAAATGCCAGGTAATCAGTATGAAGGAAACTGCAACCCTCTCTGAATAAATCTACTTTCCTGGATCTTGAATTTGTTTCTGGGACGCGTTCTAAGTATTCACAATTTGTGTATGAAAATTCACTCAAAACTTAACAGGATTTTATTTAATTGTTCTTAAGCATTTCCTTTAGAATCATTTCCATGCACAGAGTTCTTTTCAGAATTCTTTTCAATTTTTTTAATTCTTTCTGGGAATCCCTTGAACATTTATGTAGAATACTCCAAAAATGCTTGGAATTGTCCATAGATTCTTTTTGAATATTAAACTCGTTCAATAAAGCTTATTTTTTTTGTAATTCACTTTATTTCTCGGAATTCTCCGCACAATTCCCATGAAATTCACCTCAGAATTCTTGACCACCAATTGAAAAGCGCTAATTAGCTTTTGAGAGCAAAACTTGTAATCCCCTTTCCCTGCCAACACCATCGGGCAGGGGAAATTCTCCCGTCGAAAATTGTCTTCAAATTTTGTTCAGTATTATCTTGGGGTTCTCCTCTAAATTCATTTGGAAATTGCGTGGAACTCTCTTTAAAATTATCGCTTGAAATTCACGGGATTTTCCCGGTTTTTTTTCCGGTGACTTCAGCCCAGTTTCTTAGTTTCCCGGATCACTGGTCACTCTGCATTTTAGATATGAAACACTTGTCTTTAATCCAATTATTATACATCAAAAATAGACGTCACATTTAGTTTGACATTTCGTTGTCATAATTGGTGAGGGGCATTCGAATGGAATATTAAGTGTTAATATACATAAATTTGTAATTATTTTCATTTCACACTGAAATCAAGACTTGAAAGCGTATTTAGCGAAAGCATTAAACCTATTTAAATCGCAAGTACAATGCAGTGAAAATATCATTAAGAAACTTTACACTGTTTCAACTCAATAAACGTGCAACACGTCGATCGAACAAGCCATTGAAGTTTACCTCAGTGTTTTTTGAAGTTCGACAAGCCAACCAAGTTAGCGAGTGGAATTCGCTAACTAGGCTGCACTTTTAGTCCAGCTAGCAAACAAGTACTGTATTTCATTTCATTTTCATTTTGCAGCGTTTGGTGGGTCAATGGGAGCGCAAGTCAATTCAAAGCCGAGGATAAAGGACGGGTAATGGCTGAATAGTCTATGCGGACTACTTGAACGCCATGGGAAAAGGAAGGGATTGAAGAGGCCGGTTATTGGGGAGTTTTGAGGAAATGACACATAGTGATGCTAAATGTAAAGAAACCGAAAATCCATCCCCCACTGATTCATCCTTTCACATATATACGAAATTGATATTTTAAAGCAATAATCAAAATAAACAGACAATACATGAAAAGGCTAGTTGGCCGTTGCTT